ACTCAGCAGACCTGTTTTTTTTTTTTTTTTTTTTTTTTTAAATCTGTAATGCTTGACCGGAACAACATAAAGAAATTGAGAAAATTAAATACTTGAGTCAGGTGTCAGACTACAGTCAGATTAGCCACATTTAAAATGAATAGCTCAGCAGATAGACTTCAATCATTTTTTTGGTCAAAACTGTAAATAGGCGGGGCGCGTTGGTGGAGCAGTGGCAGGGCGCACATCCATGTATTGAGACTCTCGTCTCGAGCGGCAGGCCCGGGTTCGCTTCCACCCATGGCCCCTTTCCGTCATTCCCTGCTCTCTCTCCCTGGTTTCCAACTCTATCCGCTGTCCTCTCTCTGAATTAAAGGCACGAAAAAGCCCAAAAATAAATCTTTTAAAAAAACGTAAATAGGTGAACTTTTCCACAAATAGAAGGCTTTGTGCTCCTGGTATCTTTTCCCAGAGATTTTCCCAGGTGTGGCAGTCTTTAAACCTAATCTACACGTTTCTTTGAATTGATCTGAGGTACTTAAGTAAACCTGTTTCCCAACATCCTGCAGACTCTGCAGTTACTGGTAAATGCAAGGAAACCTGTCACATGCCAACAGAACTACTTCCTGATACCAAACAATACAAGCCATACATGCACATACTGCACGATGCTTTTTGTATTCTAAACAAACAAAGCAAATAACAATAAGTACTTTTTGTAATGTCTTAATGATCTGTTGTTTAATGACTGTATTGTTCCTCCAATCTAGACTGATCTTAGCAATAGATATAATATGGTATACTATTTTAGGTGCTGTGCACTCGTTTGAAATAGAAAATGATAGACATGTAAAAATAATAATAAATAAATAAAATAAAATTAACAGTGTTTTTGAGGTTGTGGATATGTTCTCTTGTGGCAAAAATCTAACAACAAATTCTTTGAAACCACACGTGACAAAACCAAAGTAACACAGCATGTGGCACAGTAATCGTTTAGTCTCCATTATGTTGTTTTCATGATCGTGGGAAGCCATAATCGTAAGTAAAATGAGATTTATTGCCCAGCACCATACATAACATATTTATTTCACAATCCAATGCGTCATTATAGCACCATCTGATTTCTCCTGATCACTATGAGGTACATACTCACCATCATACTGACACCAGCGGTCGCCTGGGCCACAGCTCGCAGCCCGTCTGACAGATTGTCTGTGATTGAGCGTCCCACCACAGCCGTGTCAGCAGAGAGGCGGTTGATGAGCTCACCAGTCCTATTCCTATCAAAAAATGCCACTTCCTGTCTGAGGATGGAGGAGAAGACAGAGGCACGGAGATCACGAACAATCTGTTGACCTGAAGTAACATCAGAAAAAAAAAAAAAAAACATTAGTGTAACGATGCAGGAAAGAGTTTCCAGTGATACGATATATTACCAAGTTAACCAGAAGAAAACAAGTTATTCCACATTTTGGAAAAGCCATTTAAAATGCTATATTGTGGGCGCTGGATAGCCTGTCATTTTGAAAATTAGTACTAAAAAAAATTATTTGACTTTTGATGGCTATCCATCACAATTTTTGGTATTCTTAAATTGAATACATTTTGAGTTCATAGAGAGAAAAATGAGAGATGATGGTTAGATGTTTTAAGAGGTAGATGATAAAACATTAACACACTAAATATAAATGTGTACTTTAAGACTATTTAGAAAATGAACAAAATCACCTTTTGTGTCTTGACTATTGCTTATTTTATTTAAGAGACATTGATGAGATAAGAGCTGATCTTAAATGTTCCTTTGCCACGGGTAGTGCTAAAGCTAGTTAGCGTAGCGTAGCACAAAGACAGATAACAGGAGAAACACTGCTAACCTTACTTTGTTCCTTGTTCAACAGTATGACTGCATACATCTAAAAAGACATGTAATAATCCGTACACAGATATGTCGTCACTGAAAAGTTTCCAGGAAGTAACAGCATCTGACCTCTGGGCGCCAAGACACTATTAAAGGCTCAACACGATGTTTGTACATCTCTGTTTGTGTAAGGATTACACAAATAAGATAAAACTTGTTATTTAGAGAGGTTTGGTGTTTAAAGAAAGACCAGCTGTTTCTCCTGCTTCCATTATTTATGCTAAACTAAACCCACCATATCCAGGCTCCATTTTCCTATTGTTCCAGTGTTCAACAAGGATTAGTTTTCTAATGCTTCCAGTCTTCAGCGTACTGATATCAAATAAACTGGAATATTTTGTTCGCCTATAATTTCCTAAGTAGGGAGAAAAGAAATACAAAAACATCCCCTGAATGATGCTCATTAAGGCAGACATGTGTGGGTTTGTTCAAAGTTTTGCTCCAGCTGTACGTGATATAAAAGTGGGATTTTCCTCATCCTGTCACTGACTGTGTCTTGGACTGTTTCTTCACATGTGAAGAATTATTCTCTGTCCTCGGCTCACCTGAGATCTGCATGACGTAGACTCTGGCAGCATTGGCCGCCCCGCCACACAGGAACACTCCTGTGAGCATGATGCATAAGGATGTCAGGGAGGCCGTCATGGTCTCTGTGTCTGCTCCGCTGGTGTAAATGGTGTCAATCACTTTACCCAAAAAGAACGGAGCGGACATGGTCACCGCACTAGAGACAGTGAGGAAGCCCACAGCAGCTGGGATGGAAAAGAGGAAGTGATGAAAAACCAGATAAAGTTCATGTGCTTTAAACAAATTGTAGAATAAAGATTAACCTAACTCTACAACTTTAACACGCAGGAAAAAAACAGATTAAACATATTTTACACAATCTGACTTAACATATACCGGTATGTTATTAATGTGGGACTACCTGTCCCCAAAACAAGGTCAGAGCAGGTTACAACTCATCTCCCTGAGGGGCATACACACATTCCCACACCTTACACCCAGAGCGGAACAGCCAGGATTAAAAATAACTGTCTCATATGACATGATTAGAATAGTGCTCGTGTCTTTTAAATTTACAGATTTAAACCCTAAAAAGGTTCTTCATGAGACAAAAAAGTGCATGTTTTAGAGGCAAAAACGCTTTAACACACTGTCAAAAATGTACACCTGTCCTTCAATGTAAATCTTTTTTTTTTTTTAAAGGGTAGTAAGGTGAAAGCCTTTGACATGTTTACAACCTTTACTTTTTGCAAGGATGCATTTTAAGGCTTGTTATCCAATGGATCAGGGAAATATAAAATAGATTAAAAAGATATAGAAACACTTTACCTGCCAGTCTCCATCTCTCCGGGTGGGCTAGTTGCAGAATCCTTCTGACATCCTCCAGGGGGACTGTGGTCGGTGTTTGGTCTTTCTCTGCGTCCGTCTGGGTCTTCAAAGACCCGGCTGCTGGAGGTGTGGAGTTGGCTGAAGAGCTGGTAAAGGCAACAGGTGTATGTGTGGCTGCTGTCGGTGCTCGGCCTGTCGATGTGTGCGAACAGAGTACAGAGACACATTTACTGTGAAGGAGAAAGGGCCGGGGATGGACCGATGACCTGACCCCGGTTGAATGTCTCTTGAGGGAGAGGCGGTGCTGCAGCCATAACATCCTCGGCTGTGTCAGCTTCAGTGTGGTCAAATGCACTCCATGTGTGCACCTTGACATGCTGAATAAAAGCCGCATTGTCCAAGTTAAATCGCTAAATCTGACAAAACGTGAAGTATTTCCTTTAGTTGCCAGTACGTGTCGGTGATGGATGATTAGTTAAACCCACTGGGGAAATCATGTTACTCCTCCAAACGTGATGTAAACACACCCTGTCCAGAGCCTGGTGTCGTTACATGTCGGGTTCTTACCGTTTTTGTCTTTTTTATCTGCTTGTGACAGCCTCAGTTTATCTCTTATCAATAATCAGCTGTACACCACCACCACCACCCCGCCGCCTGTCACTGTCATCTGTCGCTCACTTATCTGGGTGGTAAGGGGATGAAGCAGAAAAACACAAGCTACCGAGAACCCACCAACGCCACATTCATTCTGAATAATACACCCAGTTTTCTCTGAAGAGGTAGAATCAGGAAAGGTGACCTCGGTAAAGTTCACAGGTAGAGCTGCAAACCATTCCTCTTCCTTCTCCACGACCAGCTCAATGGCTGACTATATAAGCAAACTTTGCCAGACAAAACCAAACAAACACAGAACATGTAACCAAAAAGAACAGACAATGTTATTTCTGGGGGCAGGTCAGTGATCACAAAGTGTCTGATTAAGTATACTTCATTAACTTTAGGTGTCCCAATTGTTCTGAAGACTCTGTAGAAGAAGCCCTTTCATTAGCCTGCGTTAATATGACCTGCTTACAATGTTTGACTCCACACTGTCTGTAGAGGAAATTTAAGAGTGGATGCAAAATACGCCAGTGCAAATTTCCAATTTCGGCCGTGTAAAAATGGTGTCTAGTTTAGCCATAGACTGTAAATATGACCTACCTTATTACCTTGTCTACCACACTTTGAAATGTCCTGCACATTGACGGTAAATATTAAGGTCCTGCGATCATCGACATGGATGCATTTCTCGACATAACACCTTTATTTTTATTTTTATTTTATTATTATATTATTGTATTTTTTCTGCCTTAATTTAACTGATGTACATATCTTTTATTTTTATTTTTATTTTTAATAATTGTATTAATTTGTCCTGTTTTATTGAGCTGCTGTAATGCAAAAATGTCCCCCATGGGGATCAATAAAGTTTATCTTTATCTTTAGATTTACAGTCTATGGTTTGAAGTGTTTTATGAATCGGAAAAGGTTCCGAAATATAAATTACAAAATAAAAAAGTTGAAGTAATTTTATTATTTAGTTCATAATTATAATAGAGATTAACACATAAAAATACTTATTTCTATTTTTGTCATACTGACTTCATTAGAATTTATAAACATCAGAAATATCTTTCATATGATGAATTTAATATTATAAAGATAATTTTTGCTGCTTAACGAGGTGGAAAGGAGGACGACGGTTAGTCGATCATGTATCGGTTCTTGATTGCTCTTGCCTCACGCGCAGGGTGAAAGTTGAAAGTTCGTCCTCGTGAAAACAAGGGCACGTGTAGATTACAAGCGGTGAGTCTAATAAGACAGTTATCTCAGGTGTAATTGACTGTTTTTAGAAATGACACATTATGGTTCAGTGATAGTTTTCTCATGTGTGACGGAGACGCAGTCTCAGGAAGTGTTCACGTTGACTTTAGCAGGCAGATGCTAACATGCTAGTCGCTAGCTGTAACGTCACAGCGTGTTACAAACACTGGATATAAAACCTACACAAGTACAAGTACCATTACTTTCTCTGACTAGTGACTGTGAGGTACATTTCCTACGTGTTGAGCTCTGTTAATACCTTAAATAAAATAATGATGTACAGAATGTGTTGTGTTGAGCTTTGTGTTGATTTTATTTTATTTTATTTATTTTTTATTTATTTTTTAATTGCTTAATGACCTGCGATCGATCAGATCTTTGCTAGATTTGGATGCTTTGTGGATAGGTATTTGCACATGTATATACTGTATTTTGAGGCTCCTCCATAGTCGGTGTCTGTCATTGTTAGATAAAATATAAAATTCTATTATAACAGAATTGCTCTATCATTTTAATAATTATCATTTTAATTACTCCTCTTTTCATGCCCCCTCTGCACATGTGTTCAGCAGTATCACTAGCTGCAGCGATGGCTGCCATCTACTCAGGTATCCATCTGAAACTGAAAAGTCCTCAGACTCCATGGGAGGACAAGTTAAAGCTGGCACGTTTTGCCTGGATCTCCAATCAGTGCCTTTTGTCCAACAAGGAGCAGGTCAGACAAACGTTTGTGAATGAATGTGTCTGATTTGTGTTGCCAGATTAAATGTAGTGTAGTGGCATGGTCCCTGTGTTAGGTACCCTGAGAAGTTATAGATGCATTAACTGTCAGAAGTGACTGTAGTATTTCATCGTAGGTAAATATGTTTCATTTCATACAATCAAGAGAGTATTGTCTCTTTAAGAGTCAGTTGTTTGCTCTTACTTTGCAAACCATACTTATTATTTATTAAGCACTGTCTGACTTTCTGCCCTACAGCTCTTTTTTCAACATTTAGATTTTGTATTTTACAACTGCAGGGGATTGTTTATTTACTCTCATTTGTCCTGACCCTTTCCTGCTGTAGGTGCTGTTGGACTGGTGCACACATGCCTTGACAGGCTGGTACAGTCGTAAGGTAGAGTTTCCTGAAAAAGTTCTGGAAGGACTGTGGTGTTACCTTGATGATCTGCTTCACAGCCGGAAGCTCCACACTCTTCTCAAGCAGGGCAAGACCATCAGCCTGAGGCTAAACATGGCACAGGTGTGCTGCAATACTCACCCCACACAAACATAGAGAAGTGATTTTTAAAGAAATCATTTTACTGCATAATCTCTTATTGGATTAATGCTTTGGCTATTGCGCCTTTATTCTCTACAAAGGATGCTATTGTTATGAGATCTTAATGAAATATCGCTTCTCTGCTTGCAGCTGCTGCTTGACCGTCTCCAGGAGTGTTCACGCGTTGACTCTAAGTCGCCGGTGTGTGTGTCCATCATATTGAGTGTGTGTCAGGGCCTTCTCTCTGCTCCTGCGCTCTCATATGTTTTCACCACAAAGTATGAACTCATGATTGATCTCTTGGCCAAGTTCTGCTCTCTGGCCTGCCTTGAGTTACAGAAGCCATTGCTTGCAGAACCCCAAACAACTGAGTCTGTCACATGTCAACATGAGATGATGACTGAGGCTCAGCCTATCAGCGATGTGGACAGTTCTCAGGCCGAGCCGATCACTGACAGTCCCTCAGATGAAACACAGTTAGATGCTAATAAACCCCCTCCCAAGTCAAAGGAGAACCTCAGCTCGTCTAATCTGTTTGAGGTGTTGCTTCAGGTACTGTCATGCTATTTGTCAGTTCAGCGACAACAAGCCAATCCTAACAGAGTCTTCACCATGGTAACCAACCAGGTGCTCCAGCCATTAGTCCTACTCCGTCAGCTGCTCGCCTCTGGAGAGTTTTCACCGACTCACACACACCTTGGTCTCCGTCAGCAGCAATGCAGAGACATTCGCATCAAGATAGACTCCATCCTTCAGTTAGCTCTCTTCCAAACCGAACACCTGACCTCCTACAAGGAGGAACTCCTTCCATCCAAAGAGGATTCTGGGAAACGTGGTCCTGGAGGGGCAAAAGGCCCTTTGAAGCCTGTCAGTGCAATACTTTCCAAATTGAGCAGTCAGGGCTACTGTGAGCCGCCCCTGTTCTACACAGTGAAGTCGAACACGTTGTCTCTGCTGTTTAAATTCTTCCTGGAGAGCTACGGAAAAGGGAGAGGAGACAGCGAGGAGGTGCAAAGGATGCTGTGTTTCTATTTTCTCACCAGGTTAGTCCCAGTCTTGGATGTAGACCTTGATGGACACACGCCGTCACCAACCAAAGCACAACAGGCGCTCTCTGTGTCCCCTGGGCAGGAATCTACCTCATCCTCCCCCTGTTCCCCAGAGAGCTGGAGTCTGGCTCTGCTGGCTGTGGAGTCCCTGCTCAGCCAGGCTCTGTCAGCCGATATTTATAATGTAGCAGCAGACAGGATCAGACATGGAGAGGTCCAGCTGAACTTTTACAGAGCCCTGGGACAAATGCTCTTCAACCAGGCCCAGCCAAGGTAAAATCTAACACTCCACTTGAAATATTCGGTATAGTTTTTTTTTTTTTAAAGGTTTATTTTTTGGGCTTTTTATGCCTTTTTATTTAGAGACAGAACAGTAGATAGAGTCAAAAAATCAGACATAGAGAGAGAGTGGAGAATGAAATGCTGAAGATGCAGATTCAAACCTGGGCCGCCCGCTTGGAGGATTGTAGTCTGTACATGGGGCGTGCACACTAACCATTAGGCTACCGGTGCTCCAATATTTTTCATTCATCGTGAGGTTTGGGTTGTTTTCTTTTACCGTTGTCTTTGTCTTACACTGTAATTTTTTTCCTTCAATCTCTTTTAGCACCGCAGCATGGTACCGCTGTTTAAAGGTGCTGTTGAGTCTAAACCATTTGATTCTGGAGCCAGACCTGAAACAGATGTTATCATCAGCCTGGGTTAATTCTGAATGCAGAGACGCACGAGTGCAACGGGCCCGACAGGTCTCAATTTATTTTTTAAATTACTTTTGTTGTTTTTTATTTACACACAGAGCTGAAAGCTGTTTAAGGCCAGGCTCACTAGATTACACAGGAATTATGGCAGTTTACTCAACATTTCACCATGAAGAGAAGTCACATTTTTAACATGCACAAGATTATTTTTTGACTGAGACAAAATGTTTATTTTATTTTCCTCGCAGCTCTTGGTGTGCAGCCTCCTCGAGACTTACACAAAGCTCCGTCAGCTGCCTCGCCTCTTCTCTGAGCTCTTGTCTGTGATCTGTCAGCCGGCCCTGGATGCTCTCCGCCCTCCTCTGCTGTCTGACGACATCTCTGCCTCGCTCAGAACTTGTCTAATAGACACTCCCCCCTCCCAGTGCCTGGAGATTTGCTCGCTAGTGTTAGAAAGCATCAGGAGATATATTCTACCTGACCGCGAGAAGGGGGACAATGAGGCAGAGAAGATGGAGGTTGACGGAGGAGGCGATGATAGAGGGGAGCATAAAGACATAAAGGTGGACCAGGAGAGAGAGGATGCGTCTCTGAAGCTGTTCTCTCTAAGCCAGCTGCTTCATGTCGTCATGTTTACTCTGAAGACTCTAGATAATGCATCTCCTCTTCCATTAGTGAGGAAGAGTCAGGGGCTTATGGAGGAGATGCAACAGGTAGTGAAGGAGCTGCTGTCAAGACAGAAAAAGGCTGTAAAAACAAACTTAGTTTTAGTTCAAAAGACCAGAAGAAAAAGTGAAAAGAGTTTGGAGCAAAAAAAGTCAGAGAAGGTTTTAGAGTTACCATGGGAACAGAGGACCCAGGAGGCTGCTCTCCTTCTCAGATATACCTTGCTGGAGGTGGACACACTCTTCAATATCCACAGTAGCAAATACACAAGTCTTGACTCAACCCACACAGCAGCTGGAGGGGAGACTAAAGACCTCAATTCAGCCGTGACACAAATAGAAAGTCTTCTATCTGATGAGATTTTACCTGCATGTCTCCAACCATCATGCAGCCCCATGACCTGTCTGCTGTACAAGCTTCTCACTTTACAACAGGTGAAGAAAGTTCTCCTCGATTCCTCTTTACTCGCTGAAGCCAGCACTGCTGCACTTCTGAACAGAGCAGCTCGGTTTATTTTTGCTTCCTCTGAGTTTGAGGTGAGTGGAGGTGGAGAGCAGGTGTGGGACGGGCAGATATGGAGTGTGAATGCTGGCTCCTACCCTGCAGCACACTGGTATTAGTCACGTCCAATTTGCCTTTAATAGCTCCCTACCTGAGTGGAGAAGATGTGGGCCGCATGGCAGATGTTCTCGTTAGCTTGCTCCACAGCAGACAGACAGGCAGAGGGAAGGACTGTCCGCCTGGCTGTCTGACTCTCTCGCTTGTTTCTTCTCAGCTTCTCGAAAGCTCCATTCTTGCTGAGTCGCCTTCACTGTTCTCTGCCACAGTCTGTACCCTCACTCAGAGGAGTATTGGTGTTCTCAAGGCGGCACATGTACCTAAGGTTTTACCATTGTTCCTGAAGACTCAGGAGAAAGGAGCTCTTACCCAAGTTGTGAAAAAAGAGACTCTAGTTGAGGACATTGTGGCCTTCTCAAAGAATGGACAAGCTTCTCTTGTTCTCACAGACACACAGAGCAAAGAGCTGGTAAACATACTGCAGATCATAGCCAAACTAAACCCTGATGGGATGAACTCTGAGGATCTCTCCTCTGTATTCCTCCTTCTCTTCTTCATGCTCACCTCCACCTCTAGTCAGTCAGACCAGATGGCTTCAGACGCTCCTGAGCACGAGGAAGATGCTGGCTTTCTAGTGAAGTTACTCAGTATCCTGACGTGTCTCCTGGAGGCCAAAAACTTTCGAGCGTTTTGAAACTCATCCATGGTAGCACTCTGCTGCAGGCAGCTGTGTCATCGCTCCTTTGGCAAAGCAACAACGGTCGATTTAGAACCACAAGTAATGCACTTTGGTTGGAATTAATCAAGGCAGTGCAAAGCTTTGTTAGGTGCTTGGTCCAGTTGATTATATCCAGAAACAGCAGCATGAGACTCAACCTGGACCAGTTTGCCACTTATCTCTCTGAAATGGCAAGAAAGCAAACTGTGGCACCTTCTTCAGCAGCTGATTCAGGTAAACCACATCCAGGAGGGCCTATTTTGGCTCGTCAACTCCTGCTGGCCTCTCTGACCTCTTTCTCACAGGCAATGACCTCTAACCTGGGGAATAGCAAACAGATGGATCAAACTTTGACCCACATGCTAACAAGAACGACTGCTGTTCTGGGTCCAGTCGTCGAGTCTGTGTTGAAGCCTCAGTCTGTCAGTCAGTCGGCCACCCAGCTGACCAGCCTCCTCAGTCAGGCCTTCATAGTAGAAGTTGTTACCATCATGCTGCAGTGCGAGCTGTCTGTTTTCTCAGTGGAGGGAGAGAAAAAGCTCACCCTGAGTCACATGAGTCTCTATCAGAGCTTCTGCCAGCAAATCCTCAAAGAAATAAGTTCTGCCCACAGGCCAAAGGACTTCCTGGTTTCCTCTCTCCATTTCCTGTCAGCATTCTACAAAGCAGTGATGAGGAAAGGAGGAGAGGAGGAGGAGAAGACGGCAAAAAATAAGTTGGATGATCTGTTCACGCAGATGCTGCAGACTGTGTACAGGCTGCTCACAGGTACACAAAAAAACAGATCCTTGACATGTGCAACTCAGTTCAATTCAAGCAGTTTGATATCGTAACTATGTGAAATACACGGGGAGGGGGGGGGGGGCGGGGGGGTCAGGGATAAAAGGACAGGAGATCTCAACCCATCATCCTTTTCTCATTCCATCCTACCAGTTTCTGATAGTGAAGTGTGTTTCGTTAACCAGCTTACTAATATAACAAATAATACACATAGCGGTGTATTCGCTTTGTAAATGTCTGTTTTTTCACACAAAGATGTTCAGTTAACTGTCTTAGAGGAGAAAAAAAACCCAGAAACAGTCATATCAATAAAAGTAGAGTAGGCCTCTTTCCGCATGTCGTTCCCCGCTCTCTCTCCCTGGTTTCCGACTCTATCCACTGTCCAATCTCTGCAAAAAGCCCAAAAATATATCTTAAAAAAAAAGAAGAAAGAATAATCAATGTAGCTCTATATAGGTGTATATTATGAAGTGGCCAATGATTCTATGTACTCATATTCGTATAATGACAAAACATTATTAAAACCACTAGAAGAATGAAATATTGCTGTATAATTGTAATGCATGATTATATAAGTGAATGTAACATTTTTCTCCTTTGCTTCCAGCCTCTTGGCTGTCCTCAGATGATCTTTGTGAGCTGGAGCCGGCTGTGAAGGAGCTGCTGCGCCACCTTGTAGAAGAAAGCACTACAGGTCAGCTGAACCTGCTGCTCCTTCAGATCAGAGGGACTGGACATAAGCAAGCTGAGGGCAGGAAACTACAGGGTGAGGCTTGCATCAGCTCTCAGTACTTATTCACGTCTAGTGTTACATTTGTAAATATCCTAAAATCTGACAGACTTTTCTTGGATGTTATTATAATTTATTTATGACCCAAAGCTATTTCTTCTTGTTTGTAGATGTGATTTGTTTGTTTCTTTTTACAATAAATCACATTTGTTGTGTCATTTAATATCCAATCCATAATGAGAACTGTTCTCCCTTTGTACCCTCCTCTGCTGTTTTCCAGGAGGTGTTATCTGCAGTCATCATCACCAAGCTGCTGTCCTGTTGTCAGTTACCTGAGCCCTGCTCTAAAGCTCTGTGGCTCATTACACCACAGATCATATCTGCTATGGTGGTGAGAAACACACACACACACATGCATTCAAATAGGAACACACACCTGGAAAGTTCTTGGAAAGCATGCCAGGATCCGCTTGATCTTGCGTACACACCAATAATCAGACATCTACACATGCACTTGCACAAAGGTTTCTGTTTTTTCTTTCTTTGATTAGAAGTTATTTGGGAATGTTGCTGTAAAATGTGCATCATGAACGTTATAGTTGCTGAGTGTTGAAGATGTTGCAACTTTCAAATTCAAACTTCAAGTGTGTTAACAATATTTGGTTGCAGGATAAACTGTAAATAAACTATCTGCAGTTTCTTTTGCAACCTGCAGGTGGAGCTGCATACTTGTCTAAAACATTCTTAGTACTTTCACAAAGAAAGAAGTACTCCATAATGACACTAGCATAGCTTTCATTACTTTTTGATACTGTTTTATAAAATGTATTTTTGAATGTATGTATAGAATAAAAATAATATGGATAGACTTGTCAGAAATGTTAGGACAAGCTAAGAACAGTACCATGCTGAGTGTATTTTACAATATGCTTTTTAGCTCCACATCTGTATTAATTGAAGTGACAGTTTGCTGGGCTAACATGTGACAGCCGTCTCGAGTGACTCAGCAGCCAAAACGACAATCACAGTCCTACTGATTTCCCTTAGAGTGCCCGTTCATTGTAATTTCCTGTTTGAGTCAATGTGTTTTCCATCAGGCGTGCTGGGTGGAGCAGACAGACAACATGGCAATCTGCTTAACCACACACACACACACACACCCACACTGTACTTGAATTATGCTTATCATGCCGTTTTGTCTCTGTTACCCTCTCTCACTGTGTCCATATGTCTGTCATCTGTCTCATCGGTTGTTTCTATATTTTGTCAGGCTTTGTCTTTTCAAATGTTAAGGAGGAACACCTAAAGCATCTCCAGTTAATGCCTCTAAAATATTCATGTTTTTTTCGTTGTAACATGTCCACGAGGAGCATTTCTGCTGTGAATATAAAATAAGAACGGTATTAAAATTGCCATGTCATAGTTGGTCATAAAATGTCACAGTAGGTGAAGCAAAATAAGAAATCCTTATTTAGCTGCTTCAGTGTCAGAGTTACGGCGATGTGCTTTAAATCTCAAAGTTATTTTTATTATCCTCATAACTGTGCCTTTTTTTTAATTTATAATCTCTCTTAACTCTCTGTGTACAAATCTCTCTGTGTTACAGTTCATGGTGAGATCGTCCAGTCAAGACGCCTCATTGACCCTCCCCTTTACCGTTCCTACGGTGACTTCAATGACATCACTGCTGCGTCAGGGCGAAGGGCTCTTCACAAACCCCCATCATGTGATCGTGGTCCTCGGGGCTCTTCAGTCTGTGCCCCTGGATCACTTGACTCCACCCGTCTACCAGTCAGCGTTCCTGGCTGTTCATGAGGCGCTGTTTGCCATCATTCAGTGTCATCCTCAGGTACGATAGTGAAGAGGGGAGGGAGTAAATGGGTGAGGAAGCAAACCTCTTGAATAAAGATTCAAGAGGAGAGCTATAGATTAGATTAATGTCAGATTTAATTTTGCCATTTTCTGCCCATAAGATCTTTTATGTATTCAAAGACTAAATAAGAACATCCAGTGGGACAGGCTGTAATTTATTCAGGTAAAGGCGATGCTTTTTTTGTAATAGAGATGTAAGTATAACGTTGTTTTTTTGACTTTGAGGTTCACTGTTGGCATTTGTAAATGGTAGTTTTGATTTATTTTCAAGCTATTCCAGACAACAAATGAATGATTCCCAAAAAGTTGAATCATAGTGCAGCCTTTTTATTTGTTTATGTTGATAGTGGACACTAATCTAAATGTAATTTAGTATCGGCTGAATAATGAAGAAAATGATATCACACGTTGGGGAATGTTTTTGTTTTTTCACTCTGTTGTGCCCCACACTTATTGAACCTAAACGTCTCCCTCTTGTAATGAAGGTTATTATAGTTTAAGGCAGCTAGTTTAAATCCATGATGTAAAGGAGTTGTGATATTTGCCTTGATCTCTGCCCTGGAAGCCACAGGATGCGCCAGAACGGCCTATCTTACTTTGAACAAAAGGATATTGCAGCTCACCAGAGTCCTGCTGCAGCTGCACAGAAACCTCATAACATCCAAATTAACTGGATTCTCTTGGAAGGCTTGTCCCAAAGTGGGAAAAAAGTACCTAATTTTCTTGCTTAGAGAAGACAATTAACTAGTTATGTAAAACTATAAAATGGGAATCCACATTCCAGCCTTTACGAGGCCTTTTTATTTATTTAAATTGTTTTTATGTCGTAATTATTTTGTTTTTTGACTTCTTTTTTAAATTTTAGATTGTTTTAAGAAATAATGACAAAGTACAACTACAGCGAGGCAGCTGCATTGAATAAAAGAGGGCAAGAACCAGCTAACTGATATCAGATGTTTGTGAGGACAAAACAGAGCGGTGGAGGAGAGACGGGGGGAAGGTAAAACTGAGAGGGGAACACAGGAAGGGGGAGAACTTTTATAGAGGAAGAAAGACGAATCAAAAGAAAAACGATAAAGACATCAGGGAGGAAGCGGTTGACGCTGTATCAAAGCCTGAGATGTGATTTGAATGTGATGCATGAGGAAAGTCTCTGAAAAGTTAGAAAAGAGAGGAGTGAGCTGGAGAAAGGAGGTGTGATAGGACAAAGGGAGGAGGTGGAGAGGAGCGGTAGGGGAGCTGGCATGCAGCATTGGTTGGCATGGAGCTGGTTTAAGTCGCTGGAAACCATTACTGAGCCCCCACCAGAGCTGGTGACATCACCTCCCGTTGTCTCTCTACTGTCTCATCTTCACTCAGCCCACTGTAGGCCTTGAACAGACAACAAGCAAGAAAATAAAAGAAGCTCTTGTGGGGATCAAACTTCTGCCTCAAAGTATTTGGACACGGAGTTTATGAGCTGCTCTGTTATGACTCAAGCAGTGAAAATGATGTGATGGATATTGCAGGACTGTTTTGTCCTAATTTGTAAAGGTCTCTTAGGGCACACTCACACTAACGAAGTTGTCCCGTACTGTGCTTAGGCACGTTTCCCCCCCCCTTCCAATTTCCCCGCTGGCCTGCGCTCACACTGTACCAGGACAAACCGGGCCTGAGCACAGTTACTTCTTGAACAACGCGGTAATACAGCACATGCATGGCTTTATGTTATTATGAAGCATGCTCAGTTTACAAACAGGAGGACTCGAGAATGTTTTTTAAAAAAGGACGCGCAGTCTTGTCCGTGTCTGCACATCAGAGAACAACACAGAGAACATGACAGCTACTTTGTGGCTTATTTTGAGCCATGTTAGTCAGATACAGCCAGAACACTCCTTTCAACGTGTACTCACATGCTTGCGCTCGTGCATGAACTGTAACATGCCGAAGCACAACTCTCGGAAGCGTGCCATGGCCAAGGAAGTGTGGCACTCGCACTGGTTAAACAAGCTGGACTTTAGAGGTGAAGCGTGCTTAGGCACGGTACAGATTGCCAGTGTGATCGCGCCCTTTGTTCAACCTTTCCTTTAACTCTTCAGATGCCCCTTTGATTTGACCACATGCCTTACTAAACTAAGAAAAAGTAAAACATTTGAGCACACTCTATAACAGTATCACCTGAACACCATGTTTACTGGCTGTAACATGACATTGAGTTAAAAAGGTTTCTACCTGACTACAGCTGTGAGGTGATCAATGAGACTCTGAATGACTGTTTTAGAAATTATCCCATATTGGTAAGTTATAACTAAGGTTGTCAAAGTTTCAACACATTAATACAATATGTTTTAAAATGATATAATCTCAGACAGGACAGTGGATAGCGTCGATAATCAGGGAGAGAGAGTGGGAACATGTGGGAAAGGAGCCACAGGCCGGGCTCGAGCCGGGCTACTCACTTGGAGTACAACAGCCGAGTACAAATGAACCTGCCTGATAGTATTGAAGAAGACAAAAACAAAACTTTAGATCTTTATTCAAATTTTAACCAAAAAGTGCCATAAAAACAAGAAAATGCACAATATTTGGTGCCTGACGCCATGGTATTGAAATTAGTATAGAAATCTTGATTTTTATTGTATCATATCCAAGTTTAGAAGGCTGCTCTCCTGGCAACCCTAGTTCTAAACCCTTTTGTTTGACACTATACATATATTTAATGACTATTTGCTTGTTGTGTGTCCAGGTGATGTTGAACGCAGCTCCGTCCTTCTTAAATGTCTTTCATCGACTGCTAGCATCCATCATGCAGGAGGGTCGGCAGAGAGGAGACAGTGACACAGGTAACACCTACAAACTCACAACAAGACTGACCTTAATGTAAGGAGGAGATATTGCATTGCATAGCAACATAAGAGATAAATAATAAGAGTCCTAACATCCAGATGGAATAAAACAGTCTGATTTTCCAGACATCTTTAAAATAATAAATTAATAAAACCACAGGTGTGGTACATTGTTTGGCCTCAAACGGGGGTTAATCGTTTTTTACAGTCTACCTAGACCGACAAACGTTCACAGACAAACAGCCAGATTAAAGGTTACATATTGTGCAAAATACACTTTACCATGTTTTTTTAACACTAATACAGTATGTGTCCCTAGCTTGTCTACAAACCCCTAATTATGAGAAAGGTCCATCCTCTCCGTCTTTTGCCTGCTCCACTTTTCAGAAAATAAAGCCCTGAAGAGATATTCCCTTCATGACATCACAAAGGGAAGTAACCCTTCCCCCAGGTGGGTGACACTCCGACAGCTCGGTGTTTGTTCTGCCCTCTGAGTCTGCCTTCTCACCATGAATACTAGGGGTGGTACATGAAAGCCCAAGCCACCAAAGCCCTTCAAGAGAGGGGTGTGGTCAGACACAGCTTAAATGCATTTAAAGCTACAGACACAGACACAGCCTGTTCTGAGCAGGGCTGTGATAGAGGGGTTTATGAGCATGAGTATATCTATCATAAAAAATCAGAGTGGATTTAAAACCAGAAACGCCAACATGTTTTGGGAAGCTCTGAAACATATTTAAACTTGTTGAAAATTTGGAAAATATGTGACCGCTAACCTGAAATATGAATTATGCTGTAAAAAATTGAAAGAGGAAATTTGTCTTTCTACACTGTTCCTGTTATAAGAAGATGCTGGAACTGTTATTGAATTAGTTTTATTTCCAAGCGTGCACTCTTTCTCAGTTGTTTGTATTTACTTAACAGAGCTTCAGATATAGAGAAATGTTCAAATGGGGAGCGCTTACAGTCAGGAACACATTTTCTGTCTAAATTGCCTGTAAACTGTAGACATCCGTCGCAGAACCTTAGTTTAGTCAACACAGAAGAAATGTTTTTCAGAAGCCAGTGGATCTGCTTTTTAAGCAAGCTGTGGACGTATTTGTAATTCACTCATTCATTCGTAATTCACTCTCCATTTCTCTTTATGTGCCTACCATTTCCTGATTCTCGTTAAACCTCAATTATTCAAAATAAAATAAACATTTAAAGCCTTGATAGCACATTCTTTTTGAAAAGATGCAACAAGTGTGCCACAAAAATGAATTACGCCAAAGGGAAGCGGCCCAAATCACTAAGACTTGAACGTGATGCCCTCTCTGCGTCTAGAAATGAGTTAAAAAAAAAAGACTTAACCTCAGAATAAATTGACGTAAATCTCTGTTTTTCAAGGTCCTGACAGTGACGCGTATCTGCAGTGCTCCAGATTGATAGAGAGGATGTACTCTCACATCGCTGCCACGGCTGAGAGCTTCACCACACTGTCAGCCTTCATGGTGGCTCAGTACGTCACAGAGCTGCAGAAGGTACACACACACACACACACACACCACACACACACACACACACACACACACACACACACACACACACACCACACACACACACACACACACACACACACACACACACACACACACACGTATGAAAGAGGCAGCAGGATCTCAGCTGATCCTTTGATCCACACTAGTTTGTCGTTTAGCTGGCATAATTCAGCGAGTGACGGGATGCCTACGCTCAGGAGCAGAGAGGGGTGGGGGGAGTGTTTCTATTGGCCGAATGGTTGATGTTCACAGATCTGAGCGAGCAGGTCCAGGATTACTGTAACTCTGAGTTTTGGATGAAGCTTCAGGCTGGATGTTCCCTCCAAGCAGTGAGTCACGTCTGGCTGGTAAACGCGGCTCCTCTCTGCCACCAGACTGCATTCACCGAGGCGCCAACCTGACTCAGCAGTTTCCAGTAGAGTCGCACGTTGAGCGAAAGACAGGCGGACTGACTGAGAGACAGAATCAGTGAGAAAGAGGTGTCTGTTATTCTTTGAGCAGTCTATGAGTCATGTAATCATCGTAAAATTGGATTTAAATTGTTACTTACTGGATTTTAGAGAGCTGGTCCTCTTTGTAATTAGGGGCCATTTAGTCACCTCTGTGTCACAATAGTTTGTAATGCCTCGTAGCCTGACCTGATCTTTTTGTGCAACAGACAGGTGTTAGTAGAAAAGTAGAGTTTTTATGCTGCTCTAGTTTGTGAACGGCCTGTTGCCTATATATTTAAAAATGTGTCCAATTAATGCAGAAAAAGCGATATTTTCAGAGGATCTCGCTAATGTGGCCCAAAGTAGAGATGAGAAATTGGCTGCTGCAGTGTCTGGAGTTTTTTCAGGTTTATGAACCCACCCACCCCCAAAAAAATGTTCACAACAACGTAGAGTTGCCCTGTGCCTAAATGTTCTTTTTTTGAATATCTTTGATCATTCCTCAATAAAAACTGTTTATGTTTGGTGTATGAAATTTAAGAAACTAAAGGTTTAGTTTACTTTCACACTGGAGTAAAGAAACAGTAATCATTCTCATTCAAAAAACAAACTGAGAATAATTTAGACTTTTACTGTCTCCGCTGTACAACTGCACCACGTGTTGGAGTACTGTAAACAGACTTAAATAAAAAAAAATGGTGGATGTCCCATTTTACATATACTTTTATTTAAACATAGTTATTAAATATAAATGAACACAGATCCCGTGTTCATCATAGGCTGCAAACAGACAGGACATGAGTAGATGTAAGGCAAGGCAATTTTATTTATGTCAGCAACAAAGTGCTTCACAAAAGCATCATGACAGAGGAAATGTAGACATCAGGTTAAGGAGACAAAGCCTTCAGTAAGCTAAACACAACGTTGTGTATCATGACAAATACTTTTGGTAGTACTTCAGGTGTTAGAAGGTCAGACTGCCTCTAACTTTAAGCTATAAAACCAGCTCCACGTGACATCTTGTGAGTGATTTGTTTGCAGAAAGTAAATAATAGACTGTTTCCACTTTAATGTGAAGCACGTTACAGGAGAGGGAGTTTATTTGATTCTTTAACAGGAGAAGTCAGACTCACACACTGTGATGATGTGGTCTGAGGTTCAGCTCACTGTACAGATCAGCAGGTGTTTTAGCGTGTGTTCCTGTGGGGGTGTGGTGTGACAGGGATGAATAACTCGACACTATTGAATTTTCTTGTCATGCTTGGTTCATTGAGCACAAGAGATACTGTTTGTCCATTCTTTGTGTGTTTGCACTTGCGTGGTCATAGATAGGAAGTGTGTGTTTACTTTGCCGATTAGAGTAATAATGCACACAGAGAAGTCTGGTTGTATGGATTTGGGTCATTTTGATCAAACTCTGTATTGAGTACTGTACTGGGTACTATAGGAGGAAAATAAAATCCAGGCTTAGGGATGATAGCCTTTGGCTGTATACCGGTAACTGCTGTTTTAAACGGGAGCAATGAAGTGATCATCAGGGATGGCCTTTGTTATCCGGTTCTAAACATTTGCATTAACAAACATGTCAGGATAGATGCTGTTGTCTCTCTTGTAGTGCTGCTAAAATTAAATGTAAAAAAACATGGATATGTCGCTTTGACTTGTTGTAAATTAATAATGAACTCTTCTGGCACATTAGTTATGACTTGGTATTACGTCCCTCGTGAATTTGTAGACTTATAAGACTTGTGTTGCCTTTAATGGACGAGAAAGGAAACAATCTTTCTTGTTAAGTACAGGGGGGAAATGAGGAAGTAAAGATGTAAAACAGGAACAAACATAACGCTGCTGCCTGGTGCAAAACAGCTTATTGATAGAGGAACTAAAACACGACGACTTGAACAGTGTCTGACCTCTGAATGTTCTGCATGTGTTTGCCATATTTTCAGTTCCTGTCATTTCTCCTCCTGGTCGCTTCTGCTCTCTTTTCCCTTTTTTCACCACTGTGCTCTCCTTCACCTCTCCAGGTCACTCTGCGGCCTAGCATCAAGCAGCATCTGACAGAGGGGATCTATCGGATACTGGACCTGTGTTTGGAGCAGGATATCAAGTTTCTTACTGTGGGACTGCAGATGGGAGTCAGGGAGGTGTTCAATGAGCTGTACAGCAGCTACACGCACTATCACAAAGCACAGAGGCAAGGAGAAGACAAGTACACTGTTTGAACTGCCACAGTGAGCACTACCCATCTTTGCCTTGGTTTTCAATAAAAAATCTTTTTTTAAACTGAAAGACTGTGTATTTTTGGACATTGCCGTATTTAACAGCATCATCGTTTGAGTTTTGAATACACCAAGCTGTAAATAGTTAACAGTTAAGGGAGGCTTAATTGTTCTAAAATAGCTTGAGGATTATAAACCAGCCCACAGGCAGTACTTTATTTTTGCAATGTATGATATGTGTGTTTATAGATTATATATACATTTACTGTGAGATGTTTGTTGTCTGCACACACAAAGCTTTCAACAGGTGGATGTCTGTGGTTACACCCTGTCCCATAAACATACAGCTCCTGGATGACTGACGCTGTTTGTCGGGAGGAACATTGACTTCTTAAACCTTCACACTGTGATGGAAAATATAGCCGATGATTAAGAGTGACTTCTATCTACAGACCTGGAAATGGTGTGGGAAAAGTTTATATTGAAATTTAAAGAACATGGATTTAAAAATGTGATATTCATTCAGCAAATTGAAACAAAAATATGAATAGACTTATGTGTGAAATATACTTCATCACTTCTCAGCAGCCATCTGCGTTTGAACTAAATATCAATGATTTAAAAAAGATATATTGAATACAGTGCCTTAAAACTTAACAAGCCTGTTCAATTTTGTAATTTTGAGCACAGTTTGTTTTTTGTCTATAAAACAAATGAGTAAGACCTTTTACACAGTCATGGACATACTGCTGTAAAATACATAGATTTACAGAAGTAGTCAGTCATAGTCAGAAAGTTGTCTGCTTTCACATGAAGTAAACTCAATAGGATATTGGCAGAATAAAGACAGTTGTTTTTAATTATAAAAAATGTAATTTGAGCATATCGATTTCTAGAAATGTTTTAATATATCTGAGGCTGTTGAGTGATTTATTTACTGAGGCGGGCCAGTGAATGTCTGCAGTAACTCTGGATGCTTTGTAAAATGAAAATGAACAAACCTATAGTACATGAATAATTGTTTAAAAATAAAATATTTGTCTAATGAACAAAGGTTTCCTATTGGGGACAGAGCTGTGAATTAAACACCCTGCAGTCTCAGTTCAGAGTTTAACTTTAAAGTGAACATTTAAAAAATGCATCATACGTAAACAAAAAACATGTTATCCCTTTTAAGAATCTATATTCCATCACTGCTCAATGACATAAATAAAGATCAGGATGTACTGGAGGCACTAAAGATGAAAGTCCAAGTTTAACACTTTAATTTAGTATTTCAGTGAAGAGACTTAAAGTTTTTTTTTTAAACATGCAGACGTATAAAAATTGTAACATGGTTCAAGAAAATGATAACTGTGTTGAACCCTACGTTCCTTCAAGAACAGTTTCAACTCAGTAAAAGCTTCAAGAATCAGCCATTTAGTTCAGAGTTTACTCTCAGACAGTACACTACAGATCCCAGAAAGGTGTGCCCATTGTTGTTTTGTTTTGACCCCTCTGCCCCCGGTTCAGTCCTTTTCAAAACAGTACAACTAAACACGTCTTTAGTGTGCCTCCAAATGTTCCTTTCCAGTTACTGCAGAAAAAAGAGGCTCGTTTGAGTCACCACTGTGGTTTACAAAACAGCAGCTGATTTGTCATTGACCCTTAATGGAGTAGAACAATTCAGAGAAATGTCTGGAATGAAAGCTGTGTGAAGCCCGGTAAAAAACCAGGCTTCACACATCGGTGAGAGACTGTTCATGCCTTCTGCTTAAGGAGCAAACTAATTGGTTAGTGAGAAACTAGACTTGTAGATAAGTTACAGCAGTGCCTAGTTTGTTTCCTGTTACCTAGGTGAGTCAGGAAACTGCTGGTATGTGTCTCTGTTGGAGGTCTGCGCTGTATGAACCACATTGGTCCTGTCAGCAGAGCAGTCAAACAGCGTCATGACAGCCTGAAAAATGCATTCATTTGTTGGCAGCAATTCTCCCAGTTAAGCAAGTTTTGCAATCCTCTGTGCTCAGCTCATGTTGAAACTCCTGCACGTTGACCGGCTGGGCTCGTGTCTCACTGGCACGTCATCATAGGGTTACAAAACGTGTGACTTAAAGCTCTCACACCCAAGCGTTTAACCTTTGCTGAACTAAGTGGATTTTGTATTTTTCTCTCTTTTGAAGAATAAAATGTATTGTGTGCATGTTTCCTGGAGTGATAACAGACCAACATGTGTTTCATTTCAACAACAACAAAAAAGGTTTAGAGGTAGTAAATCAAAGACACTTCAATGGGCAGAATAATTTAGAAATCTGCTGTCCAATCTTTATAGAAATACTTATGGAAGCCCTAGGTGGACATACATGGGCGGCTGTGGGTCAGTTGTAGAGTTGGTCATCTCTTAACTGGAAGGTTGGAGGTTCGATCCCCAGCTGTGGCCACATGTTGATGAGTAGTCAGAAGACTAAAAAAGTGTTACACAAGCTCAAGTCCATTTGACTTTCAAGTTCAGTGGTTATGAGTTTCTTGGGAGCTTGAACAAATGAAATTAAACTCATTGTCATGACAAAACCAGCATTGTTATCCCAAAATTACAAGATAAATAAGTCAAGGACTTAAACCAGATGTTCTTGTTTCAAAGATTCCTGTTTTAATCTAGACCCTACAATCCACTTATAATATCAGACTGCCATAGTAATATTCTTACACAATGGAAAAGGACGTTTGATTTTTAGCATATTTAGTGTTACTCTTTTACATACGTTAAGATGATCTACAAGCACAGTCAAAAGAAGGACTTGTTGCCTCCCCGCTCTATTTCTGGCAGAGGTCTTGAAAGCCAAACTGACCCTCTTCAGGGGTAATTTAAGACCCTCGTTAGAGCTATTCAGGACATCCGAGGCAAAGGGCGAAAGATAAAACCCTCTTTCACCCCTGTGCTGCTAAATGTGCACATCTGTTTCTCTGCTTCTTACTCCTCCACCCCCTACCCCCCCCCCCTCTCTCTCTCTCTCACTGCAGTTTGACTTCCATCCATCCGTGCTCCAACACAACTGTAGGTAACATAAACACTCTTCAGACCACCGTAGCGAGAGAAGCGATGAATAAATGTGTGTGTGTGTGTGTAATACTTGTGGGACTCTGTTTGGAGGCACAGCACAAAGTGTGTATTGAGAGCTTTTTACTTGCGCTGTGAAGCATTTTGCTCTCTAGTTAAAATCATCATTTTGTTGCAGTTAAAATGGGAGATGTCAGAGACGCAGAACATGAACTAGACCTCTCAGATTAGTCGAAAGCGTTCCTGCTAAGCTCTAAGAGAGGTTTTTATCTTAGTGCCATTAGATATTCTATTTGAGCTGTGATGTGCTCAGATGCTTCATGAACATTTAAAGATTTTCTGAATTGATCTGTTAGATTCTTGTTTTCTGATGCTTGGAGCCCCTGTAACCTTCTAAAAATCAGCCACTGAGTCTTGCACAAACACACAGTGAGGCACAGTTAGAACCGTTTGAATCAATTAGACATTTTCAGTATTTTTCGTTTGAAGGGGATAGAAAATGGTTCTGTTCAAATCTTGCAGGATTAATTTTGAGCTATCAACATTTTCTAATTTCATTTCTTCTCTTGTTGCCTCACAAGTGTCAATCAAATCATAGCTGTGATTCATCAACTAATAGGTGATTGATAATATTTTTTCAAACATTTAAAAACTGTACAGGGATACTGTATATTTCTCCCTTCTTCCTCACTTGTTTCCTTCCTCTCTTTCTCCTTTTTTATTCCATGGGGTCTTTTCTTCATCTTTTTCTCTCTTGTTTGCATCTATATCCTCTGCTCTTTGTATTTCCTTCTTATTTCATCACCTGCTTTCTTCCCTCCTTAATGATTCCTTCCTTCCTCTCTCTTCATCTCTCCTTATCCTCACTTCTTTTATTTCTTCCTATGGTTTCTTCCATCCTTTCTTTATCTTATTATTTCCTCGATTGCCACCTATTTCCTCACTTTGTCCCTGGTTTTTACTCCCACCTCCCTCCTTCTATTTGTCTTCTTTCTCCCTTGATTCCAATCTTCTTTGATCACCCTGGTCTCAGACTTTTCAATATTTGACAGTCTCTAAACATTGTTAATATTGTCAACATTTGGCAGAAGTATGACCACAATGATTCTGCATTTAGGAGGTTCTGGCTCGCATTAAAGGAGGAAAGAAAACGAAAGGGTAAGAACAGCAAGCAAAAAAAAAGGAACTAAAGGGACAAATGAAGGAAGAGAGAGAAGCAGGAAAGATAGGAAGGAGGGAAGGACGGAAGGAAGGGGGGCGAAGAAAAGGGGAGAGAAGCAGGAAAAATAGAAGGGTGGGAGGGAGGCAAAAAGAAAGGGGACAGAAGCAGGAAAGATAGGAAGGGTGGGAGGGCAGGGAGGACGGAAGAAGGAAAGGGGAGAGAAGCAGGAAGGAAGGGGTACGAAAGGAAAGAAGGAAAGAAAAGCTGAGAATAGAAGGAAAGAAAACATTAGGAAAATAGGAGGTTAAGATATCAAGGAAGGATGGAATGAAGGTAGTAACCAATGAAGGAGAGGAGGAATACAAATGAATGAAGGAAGGAAAGGAAAAAAGGGGGTAAAGCGACAGTCATGAGGCCTCTGAGGTTGTGTCTGTCTTTGCTGAGTTGGCTCTGAACCAGACACACAGCAACCTCTGTTTTCACAGTTAAACTTGGGTTAAAGTGACTCTGGCGCCCCTGGCGTCTCATCAAAGCAAGTGCAGCTCTCGGCAGACAGTGAAATCATGTAGCATGATGATGATCACAGATCCTCTCTAACACAGCTCCAAAAGCTACACAACAAGATATTTAACAACTATCCTTTTCTACAGGGACTGACTGACCCCACCCCCTTGTGCTCGGCTTTAGCACAGAACCGCACGGCACGGCTCGACTCGCTGCCTGGACCGGCCCTCCTCCAGGGCTGCCTGAGCCGGTGTTTGATTGGATTAGAGTATGCTAGCCTTTGCCCTCTAACCTCGCTGATGTTGGCTGGCTGCTTCCTGCTCCCACCGCTCCCCCTGACCGACTGACGAATCCTGCAGAAGCCGCCCGA